TACAACTTTGCTATTGAACATTTTCTCCAAAATGCATTCTAACTGAAGATATTAGGGGGGTCCGATACTTTTCGATGACCCTGTACATATGATTATACATAATTGTATATAATTATATATAATTTTATATGATTATATATAATTATACATAATTATGTATGGACAAATTTTATATATAATTATGCATAAAAATTTTTTCATTGGGTGGGTATGATAAGTAATATAAGGAGGTCTCAGGTCTGATTTTTAAAGTTCAGTTATATAAAATAAATGCACACATAAAATTATCTTTGTTACTTACCTATTGATATACATTATGAAAGAAATTTATATAATATAATTTAAGATCAGACTTGCACTGAATAAGGACAGCCCCAAAACCAAAGCTACTCGCATCACAATGTAACTCTGTATAGTCGTGTGGACCGTAAATCGCTAAGATGGGTGCTTTAGTTAACTTTATCTTTAATTCTTCAAACGCGCTTAGTTCAATATTGGTAAACTTGAATGTAGCGTCCTTTTTAAGTAGGTCATAAAGTGGTTTGGCAATCATCGCAAATCCTTCAATAAATTTGCGAAAGTACGAACACAATCCTACAAATCTTTGTACATTTCTTATACTCTGAGGAATAGGAAAATTCGCTACAGCTTCGATGCCACCAATGGTTGGACGAATACCTTCCGAATTAATAAGGTAGTCCAAATACTCAGTACTAGTAAACATAAATTTGCATTTGTCGATCCTTAGACTTACAAGGGGAACCCGGCAGTCTCTGATCACCGATTTGAATAAAATTTTATGGATGTGTAATATGCACTCATACATTTACTCCTGTAAAGCCGTAGGACCCACTATTGAGGCATTCTCGAGAAATATTTTTTTTAATATTTCGAGAAAAATTTTTGTCCCTATAGTACCGTTACGGGAAAGCAATCTTTGAGCTAGTAGCGTAGCGTCCACGGTAAGACGTAGACTACTACGCTCGGGGTTGCAGGTTCGATTTCCTGAGTGATTTTTTCTTTTTTTTTATCTGATTTTTTGGAATCTGCTCGGAGCTGACTTTAGACCAAAAGGCATCTTGGTGTATTCGAATTGACCTAGAGGCGTTATAAAAGCCGTGTATTTAATCGACTCTTCAGCTACTCGGATATGAAAGAACCCATCTCTGAGATCCAATATGCTAAAATACTTTTTGCCCAGTAAAACATTGATCTGATTG